TTTCATTTTCTAAGATTTTTAAAAATAATATGCATAATTATGTGCAAGCAAATAATATAGTGATAGAAATTAAAGAATGTACTACATTCAGCTCAAAGAGCCATTGGCATGATTTGATTATTGCAATTGATGATGACACTGCCCCCAAATAACTTGGATTGTGTAATTATTTTGAAGGTAAGATTGCAGTAAGGAACCACACTCCTAAAGAAAAGGTTTATACAGTTCTGTGTTTTGTAGCGATTTACAACCACTTTTTAGAGCACCCCAAACCTTTGCATCTCAGATAGTAGAATCTATAGAACCTTGTTTTACTTATTTACTGAGTTTCAACTCTCAGTAAAACCTAAAGATGAAAAAAGTTGGCTCCTTTTAGTGGAACTGCTCAAGATGTAAGTATATCAAAAAATATCATAATAGCCAGCAGGAATCATGCTTTAAAAATATCAAATCCATTTATTTTCTTCTATTAAAATCCAGTTCTTTCCCCTATAACCATTTCTGACACCATGAAGGTTATTACCTACAAAAAGTAGGAGTGGAGTTTATATAGGTCTCAGCACAGAGTGTAGGTAAAGAAGAAAGTAAAATAACCTAGAAAAGAAGTTCTCAAGAGTAGGTGGAAAATCTGAAAGAGAGAAGTATTTGGAGGTAAGACTAAAAGGAAGATCTTTAGCATCCCCTCACCCCTGGCTTATGTTGAGAAGTTAGACACCTCAGTAAATGTCTGATTCAGAGGGCTCCTATACCCTGCTCCCATCTCATAAAAGCCTCCTCTTTAAATGGTTCTCCACACCAACAGAGGCGGTAATGTGAAAGGAATGGTATGGCATATTTAGGCATAGGCTGGGCTGGAGGTAGCAGTCCAAATCTTACTAGGTTCATAAAAAGTATTCAGAATTCCATGTGCTCTAGGTGGAACTCTAGAAGAAAGCAGAGATATTTAGCAAGCAAGTTTGTTAATGGGTGAGAGTAGCAGTAATCAGGTAAGATGCTCCTGTACCAAAAACCAGTAGGTGAACTTCCAAGACCAGGACTCAAAAACCAGTGGGTGAACCTCCAAGTCCAGGGTTCAATGAAGGTTATAGTCAGGACCAGACAGATCTTTAGTGCCAGCCAGAACCAAATTTCCCAAGACTTTTGCCAATTCGGAAAGAACAGGTCATGATTTTTATTAGTGATGTACATCTACAGCAGATTCCATCAGCATGCCTAGTGACCAGGATGGACTAGGACATTTCACAGAAGCCCGTGAAAAGTGCACAAAGACTGGCACACAAACTCGCTTTTCTAATTTCCTTTAATCCATTACCATAAGATTTCTCCTACATCTAAATATTGTTCTTATAAGAGGAGGAGAAAAGGTAAAAAAAAAAAAAAAAAATTAGGGAGAAAAAGGACTGGTTGTTAAAGCTTTAATTTTATTATTATCCAAAACAAATGGAGAAGACCTTAAAGAAGCTATTCTAAACTTGAAGCATTTGCGATAAATTTCATTGGCAAGTTTTAGCTCTTCTACCCCTAGCCCAACTCCATTAGTGGAGTAGTGGCTCATTAACAAGAGGAATTTCATAATAAAAAAAAAAAAACTGCACATCTGAGTGAAGTATGTAAATATTTTCCTCCATGTACCAATATTTTTAGAAAGAGTAATGAAAGATGTTCAACAGAAATTAAATGTATTAAGACAAAATATAAATGATTGCTAGTTGGTAATAGAGCAATCTAATGGTTGAGATTTCAATAAAACCCTCTTGTATTACTTGTGGTTCAGAGAAACAGAACCAACAGGATGTGTATATACAGAAAGATATTTATTATAGGAATTGGCTTATGTTATTATAGAAGTTGGCTAGTCCAAAATCTGCAAGGTGGGCTAGCAAGCTGGAGAACCAGGAGAGCCGACGTTCCAATTTTAGTCCAAGGGCCATCTGTAGATCTGTAGGCAATGCCACAGATAAAATTCCAAGACAGTCTGCTGGAGAAACCTCTCTTGCTTGAGGGAGGCTGGGTTTTTTGTTTTATTCAGCCTCCAGTGGATTGGATGAGGCCCACCTATATTATGGAGAACAGTCTGCTTTACTAAAAGTCTACCAATTTATATGTTAACTTCATCCAAAAACATCCTTATAGAAATGCACAGAATAATGTTTGACCAAATATCTGGGCACCTTATGGCCCAGTCAAGTTGACACATAAAATTAACCATCACACCGCTGTAGAACACTTAGCTGACCGAGCTACTATATTGGAAAGGTAAAGTTATCTAGGAGCGAATGATGGAAAGAAGCAAGTATCTTTTATGCATACTTTGAACCTACTTAGTTATGGGTTAGCCTTGTAGGGGATGATGGCATAGATGGGGTTAAGTGATCAGATAATGAGAATGTTTTGTAAGGAGGTAACGAGTACTTCCTTCTGGAAACTTTTTGCAGATTTTCAACTGAGATTAATTCTATAATTACACATTCCCTTCAGTCTTCACTAAACATTTTTTTAATTTTTAAATTAAGTTTAAAAATTTAATTTGAAAATTAAATTAAAATTTTAAATTTAATTAAATTAATTTAATTTAATTAATTTATTTTAATCAATTTAATTTAATTAAATTTTTTTTCAAAACCAGTAGAAATTTTACATTAGGGAAAGACAGTGTTAATAAAATAATAAAAACTTAGAAGAAATATTTTTATCTTATTTTGGTACTTGACATAGGCAGCCTTTTTTTCCTTCACCTTTTCATGATTACTCTCTTAAATTGGGTGTCTCACATTTCAGGACTTTTTTAACATCCAGTGGTCAGTCAGGTAGCTCATTTAATAAAGGTTTTTAGAAAAAGAAATGCTTTTTCTACTTGCTGTAGTCACTTCTATAGCACCAAAAGACACAGTAATTAAAATTCCTTCATTTCAGGAGTCAGATCACAGAAGGTGTTAGGTTAGTAAAGTTCTGGTGATTATCTAAAGTCGTGCCGGTGGTAAAACAGTTTAGGCAAACAGAGTTTGCCCAGACTATGAAAAGAGTAGAACCTGAGAGGGAAGGAGAACTGGCACATCTGTAAAGAACAAAGGAGGAAATTATTAGGAAGAAGCAAGATTAAAAGGAAGGGTCATTCCCAAAAAGTTAGCAAATCTAGCCCCCTCACTAATATACTCTTTTCTTCTTAGCATTTTTTTTTGAGTAGTTCACAATAAAAACTGGTTCAATCCAAAAACAATACATTTCTTACTCTAAAGTATTTGATAATGCATTGAAGTAATGCCCTAGAATAGAAAAATAAAATGAAATGTTCCTTGGATCAGACTGACAGGGCCATTCTGAAAGCACAGTCTGTACCATTCAGAAGTGAGTTTTTACTGGTCATGGAAGGCTGCACCCATATTCTTAGGATAACATCTAATTGTGCTTTGATTATGCAGACCCACTGGAGTATCATAAAAATATGTGTGCCTTTCTATATTCTTGTATTTAGGTCAAAATTTACAAATTAAAAAGTGAATGGCTCTACTGTGAGAATTAGAGACAAAGAGACTATTGAAAATCAACTTGCTTTTGCATACTTCATTATCATAAGAAAACAAGACAGGAACAACTAAAACTGACTAGTTAAATAAGAACAGGTCATTTTTAGAAACTTGTTTTTAGTTCTATATAATTGAGCAGCATAATATCTTCAGGACTGTTCTGGCTGGTTGCTTCTGCTTCTGAGGAAGGTGCAATCTTTCTAGAAAACGAAACTTAAAACGTTCAGGGTGTAATTGTCATTTGTATAAATACTCAGTTTGTCTCCTTGATCTTCTGCATCTAATCATGAATAAGCCTATGTCACATTGAATATATAGATATATGTATGTCTCATATATATGGATATATATATGATTATATATATACCAATACATACACACGTATACATATATCTCAAACATCAAAAACTCTGGGTTAAAGTAAAAGAGAAGGAGGTCAGTTTGGAGACTTTATATTAAGCCTGAGATGACCGGAAGAAAGAGATATTGTCTATTCAAGGGGGAGGCTCCAAGCAAGTCCTGGAGATGGAGTACGGGCTATTTACAAATGTTTGCCTTCATCCCAAATGTCATTTATATATCCAAGTGATGCTGTCTTCTGAAATAGTGACCACTATACACACAAGTCATAGCATATTTAAGCCACAAAATCACTGTTTAACAAGTCAGTCATAAGTCCTCCTATCTAGAAAATAGTAACATTCCATTCATTAGAATATTAGATCCAGTAGTCTTAATTTGAGCTCATTTTTTGCATCCTTCGGTATGGTCTCCTGCAATTTAAAAAAGTGTGGCACAGAAAGACAAATACCATATGTTCTCACTTTTAAGTAGGAGCTAAATAATGCACACACATGGAAGCAGAGTGTGGAATGATAGACAATGGAGACTCAGAGGGGTGAGGTGGTGGGAGGGGGTGAATGATGGGAGGTTTCTTGGTGGGTACAATGCACATTGCTGCAGTGATGGAGGCACTGAAGGCTCTCATTTCACCACAGTGCAATATTTCAATGTAGCAAAATTGCAGTTGTACCCCATGAATATAGACAAATAAAAAATTAAAAGGAATGGTAGCAGATGGCTATCACCAGTCCTAGTCAAGCTGCCCCAAGCAGAGATACACTATTCAGTAACAAGTCAAAGATATGTTGAGTTGGCTATTTTAGAAACAGGAGCAGGGGAGAGTACAGTTATTAGAAAAGAGTATACAATAAGCACTGTCTGTAAAGGTAAACTGAGGCTGGAGCCGAACCAGGAACAAAGACACAGGCAAATGGCAGTGAGAATAGCCTTTTATTAGGGCTTGCGGGCAAGGTTCCTCAGTCCAAAGGCGTGGGCGGAGGAAGTCCCGCTGAGGGAGGAGGGTAGGGGCTTTTTATAGCCCGAGAGGTAGGGAAGCTGGTTGTGCAAACAGGGCCTGGGGGGTCTTAAAACTACTAGGGCAGGAGTTGAGTAAGGGTCATGAGGAAGGGGTCTTTGGAAACTGTTAACCGAAACTGCTGTTTACGAACTTGTGGAATGCAGGTGAGCTGCAGGTCATGGGGGAGTGTGGTTACCCAGCCGGAACTCTGACGCATGTAAGTCTGCGGGTGTGTACAAGGGTGAAGGGAGTCTTTAACAAAAGGCCTGCTACGTCGGGTAACGCCGCCATGTTGGGTCTAGATTCCTGCCTAACACTGTCTGAAGTTGGAATAAATAAAAATGTAACATTTACTATGTGGAGAGGGGACTTACAATTATTTAATAACAAGAATTTATTCCCATGTTCGAAAAGATTGAAAACTACTGCTTTTTTGTCAGAGAAATACATTTTAATTTATATATCTAATCAAGTACCTTATAAAGTACTAAAAGCACTACATATATATGTATACATAAACACACACATATAAATACAGCTATATACATATATTGTAATTATTATCAGCATCATTTTCAAACACAAAACGTGTTTGCAAACTAAACTTTGAGAGAAAACAATTATGTTCTTGTTCTCCTTAGACCTTTTGAGAAAAAGAACCACCAGGAATCTAAGAGGCGTCATTAAAAGTCACTAGCACTGAGACCACATAGGGTTTTGAAGATCAAAGTAACATATGCAAACTCCACTGACTTCAGATGTTAAATCAAAACGTGAAAGCCCTTTTTTTATTTTTGAAAAACTCTATTGGATTCTGTCAGAGAAATTGTGTATAACTTTCCTATTTCTCTGTGTTAATTATTAGATGTATTTGCATAAAAAGGGGATCTTTATTTTTCAGAGTTCATCTGTTCCTGCTGTTTATTCCTCACTTGAAGTAATAATCCAGTATAACGTATATAGCAACAGGAGAATATAAACTCTCAAAAGACAAAGATCTCGTTTTCATGCAAATGATTCAAATAATATTTTTGAAGTCAAGCATAAGATTGATAGTATGCAAATAATATTGTCTGCAACATATTTTTCTATATATTTCAAGATTTTTTTCAAAGTGTTTGCTACTAACAAAGTACTCAGAGGAAATGATAAACAGTTTATCTAGCAAATGTCAAGATATATTATCAAGAAAACTGCATATAATTGGAACGTGGCAAAGTAGGTCATGTGTCACCTTAAAAAGGTTCACATCATTTTTAACCAACATTTGTGAAAAAACCAATAATTATTTTGTGACCATGGAAAAGTCTCAAACTGCGTATATGATTTTTTATAATAATGTGTCACTGAAACATGCTTCTTTTCCAGAAGTAATTCAAGGTTTTCATTTGCACCTCAATAATTTTCTTCCAAATACATTGAGAGACCAAAATGATGATATCTTAGTTTATATCCATAGGACTACCTTCAATGTACAGTGTCAAAAATTTATAATGTACAAATGTTAAAGAACTACTGAGAAATTAAGCATAAACCTTTCAGTTACCATTCAAAATATCTTATTGTTTACTCTAAATAGTAAGATATTATTAATATTGAATAATTTGATCACAGAGATGACTTTGCTTTGCTCTTCAGAAATCTTGTGAGGAAAACAGAGAAGATGCTACTAACCCTATGTTTTAATTTGAAAATTAAGCCAAGTTAAATTACTTATATGTGACTACGTAATGTTGCATCTGGGTCTAGACTTCAGGTATTCTGGCTTTTGGGGTCAGTATATACCCATAATATTATGAACATGATATGGTTCAGATATTTGTCTCCTTTAAATCTCATGCTGAAATGTAATCCCCAGTGTTGGAGGCAGAGATTACATTTACATGTTGATTACATGTAATTATATCACATGTTGATTGCATGTAATGTAGGGAATTACCTTATATTACCAATTCCCTGGTGGAAGGTGTTTGGATAACGGGGGCATATTCCTCTTGAATGGCTTAGAGCCTTCCCCTAGGTGATGAGTGAGTTCATGTGAGATATGTTTGTTTAAAAGTGTGTGGCACCTTCCCCCTACTTGCTCCCACTCTCACCATTTAAAATTCCTGCTACCATTTCACCTTCCAACATAATTGTAAGCTTCCTGAGGCCTTCACCAGAAGCTGAGCAGATGTTGGTGCCAACTTGTACAGCCTGCAAAACGATACATCATTTAAATTTCTGTTCTTTATAAATTACCCAGCCTCAGGTATTCCTTAGAGCAACACAAGAAAGACCTAATACAGTATGCAAAAAAGATCCGTGGAACACCTGTGAGAAAAGTAAACTAACCAAGTAACAAAATTGTAATAAAAATACACTTCCCTATATAAAAATGTTACAGTTATCATTAGCCTGAATCAAGAGTAAAAATATTAATTAAAAGAGATTTCTCTTGTTCTGAAGATGATAATAGTTAGTTCACAGCTAGTATGGGTATTTGGAAATTATGGAACTAATACCACTTAAAAATCCAATATTCATATTTTGATTTTAGATGCCCTAAAAGATTTTTCAAGACATGACATTTAGAAAACACTGATGTAGAAAGCAGATTATCATAATAAAAACAGCAAATGGGGAACGCGATTCTGTCTGGTTTGCAAATTGATTCCATCTGCTGGAAACATCTAGTTGCCTCCAACCACTGTCTTTCACTAATGGGATAAACACAAAGAAAGAACTCTTGGAAAACAGGTAAATAGCCTGGTATGTTGTATGATTGGTTCCTCAGTTATTTACCTCTTAAAAATATAGTCAGAGCAACAATCTCATCCTCTCTCTCTTTTATTCCTGTCTTCCACCTTGAGTTTTATCTTCCTCTGAAGTCCTGCAATTTAAATAAAAATACTGGGCTGGGCACAGTGACTCATGCCTGTAATCCCAGCACTTTGGAAGGCCAAGGTGGGAGGATCTCTTGGGCCTAGAATTTCAAAAACAGCCTGGGCAACATAGTTAGGTCCCATCTCTATAAAAAGTATTAAAAATTAGCTGGATGTGGTGGCATGTCCCTGTAGTCTCAGCTACTTGGGAGGCTAAGGGAGGAGGATCACTTGAGTCCAGGAATTTCAGGCTGTAGTGAGTCATGATCATGACACTGCACTCCAGCCTGGGCAACAGGTCAAAACCCTGTCTCTAAAAAAAAAAAAAAAAAAATTAATTAATTAAAATAAATAAATAAAACTTTCAATTGATTATCATATATTTTTCTATAATTTTAAAAATATTATTATTTGTAGCTATCCAAAGTGTCAGTCTCTGGTTACAGCTTGCACAATGCACAAATTTAATAATTGACAGTTTAAATTTAATTTGTTGCTGTCAAACACATAAAAAATGAAGTAAAGTTTTTGCTATGGTTATATAGAGTATAAGGAGAAAAGTAAAGCTTAGCTATCTTTGTATTCTATTCCTTACTATTGAAAATGTATATATACTATGTACACATAAAAGTACTTTGTGTGTGCGAATGTCTGCTATCTATGGCTGAATAACAAATCACCCCAAAACTTACTGATGTAAAACAATGATTTATTATTTCTCCTGACTCTGGGTGGCTTTTTGCTGATCTCACCTGGAGATCACTTTTAGGACTGTCTTCATCTGGAAAGTTAACTAGCAGCTGAGTTTAGCTGAGACACCTGAGACAGCAAGTTCCTCCTCTCATGTGATCTTTCATCCTTAGGGCAGCTAGTCCAAGCCCTCTCAAATGGTGGCAGTAGCATTCCAAAAGGGCATGTTTCAATGTATAACCACATAGTAAGCTCCTGCTTGCCACATGTTTGCTGAGGTCCTATTGGTCAAAGCAGGTCACGTGACCAAGCCTAGTGTCAATGTGGGAGGAGGTGACCACCACCCAAAGGCACTGCTAGTAGGAGGCATGGTTCATGGAAGGTCACTAATGTAACCATGTACCACAATGGGAAAAGACTGATACTTTGAAATAAAACAATTCATGTGTTAAGACAGTATTATTTGAAAGAAGTAACAAGTTTATGAATGCTTTTATAGGATATTTTTCAGGTCACAGAAATCCTCTATTTTAACACTTCGTAATGATATTTACAATAAAAAATAAATAGAAAGTGCTTTATCAAGGAAACATCGTGTTTTATTTAGAAGGAGAATATGATCATTATTGAGCACTGGCTATGCATATGTACTTAATCAGGTGAACTATATGCGTTCTCATTTAATTCGTATAATAGAACAACATTGAAAAATTATCTGTTAAATTGCATTAATGTAAAAAATAATCCTGAATACTCACTTATTAAGTACTATAATCAACTCTTTTTATCATTTTGACTAGTATTCTGAAGATCTAAGTTCTAAATGTTCATTGGGACATCCACACTCTTTGCCTTATACATCAGTTAGGATTGCTTCACTGCTGAGTAACTAAGGCCCAGAATAACAGCGGTTTAAATAAGACAAGAGTTAAAATCTTTCTCATGGACAAGTCTGGAGAGGGGCGGTAGAGGGTTGGGTTCTCCTGTTTGGAGGCTTTAGGGTCCCAAGGTTCTACCAGCTCATCGGTCTCATCTCTACAGTACAGCTGTGGACACATAACTGCACTTTGCAGGAGGGGACGCTGGGAAACACTGTCTTACACTTTTTCCTTAATGTTTATTCACAGAGCTCATAGCCTCTATCTGTGGAGGAAATGGAGAATAGACATTAAGGGACAAGAAACAGTCTTTGCCTCACCTTATGTGCAATGGCATGCTTGATCCCTGGGGTCAGAGATATAATCCCTAACAGTACTCTTAATATGGATAAGTTATCCAAGCAATGCTAATCGATCTATAAGTAGATAAGCACACTCGGCTTTATTAACACCACATTCTAACCTTTATGTTCCATGATATGTGGAAAATTGATGCCTTTATCACTATGGAACCAGCTGCATGTTGAACTGTTATAACAGGCACAGGCACTGTGACTCATCAAAATTCACATGAAAAGCAAAACGATATTGTGTGGAAAGTTATATCTCAAGGGAAGAGAATGTGTCAGGAAAGCAGGGTAGGGGTAAAAAATCAATCTGGGGGATGGGGCAAGGCTTAGAAAGAAGAGGGCTGCCTTAGATTCACACTTTATAAAGGAAGCTTAAAAAAAAAAAGAAAGAAAGAGAAGACATTTGCTAGTAAATTAAAACTAAGGAAAATGTTACTATGCTACCTTTGAGGTAAATGTGGTTCACTGGTTTTTAAGTATTCAATTTACATTGCCTAAATCATCATCTGATTTATTAAGTTTTCTTACCATCGTTTCTATACAACATTTCTTCAGAAATTTCTACAAACATATGCATATTTGGTTCTCCTGGAGACTGGAAGCAGAGCTAGCTCAACACCAGCTTTCTTGCAAGGAGAGCAGCTGGCACTGACCCATGGCATCTCAAGGGCCTACCTCGGGAAACAGAGGCAAAAACATTCCAACAAGTTGAGGAGGACTACTTCTCCAAGAAGTATCTGCCACAAATTACAGCCATAGCATTTCCCCTGTTCTTTGTAGCTACTTTCAAACTTTTCTAGAACAATTGTATTTATTTTAAATGTTTTATTGGATCAAACCGGTTTTACCATGGACACTGTTTTATTTACTCAAACTTTCTCCATACCTTTATGCATACTAAATACTGATCTGTATTTAAATAACACCATTTAGCCAGTTAGGGACACATAACCAGGCCCTGAATAAAAGAAATTTAACTGCTGACTTCAGATCCATGCAATGACTGATTCGAAAGAAAACGCTTAATTTCTACAATAAATCTTAGTTCTTCTGTCAACTACAATGACTGAAACTCTTGTATATTTCTACAAAGCAGCCCTGCCACACTCCATGCTGTGCTGATTGTTCCAAATTAGAGATCTGCTGCTTCCCTGTGGGCATCCTGCTGGAACATATAGATTTTCTATTGAGCTGCTAGGGCTTTGCTTCAGTTTTGTCCAGTAGCCAATTTAAGCAGATTGGAGCAATATATGCAATCCCGCTGCATAGTCAGCATTATAATTGTCTTACCAGGATGAATACAGTGGGGAAGAAGTTATGACCCCATTCACTTAGAGAAAGCTAGTATGACCTGCCAGAAAAAATATGGGCTGGAGAGCCAAGCAGATCTTGCTACTTACCTGGTCATTCTCTTACTTTTCTTATCTCTAAAACTGGAAGGGAAACATCTAACTTTCAAGATAACATGAATTAAAGAGAATGAATGTAAAATACCCACCTTAGTGTCTGATATATAATAATGTATGCTTATCATTATTGTTATAAAAATGAAAGAGTACTGGTTTAGAAAATGTAGAAAATTGTACAACTCTAACACTAATATTCTAAGGTAGGTTCTGTTAAGGCTTTTCGTGATGCTAATATTATTGTGCCTCTTGTATAATCAAAGGTAAAATCAATAATAAATATCAAGATGAGTTTTAGGACGTTTAAAGAATTTCTGACTTTTTTCCATCAGTATTACTTTGATTCATTTTGGGAAATGTCAGTATTCAAAATCTTTTGCCTGAAGCACATTTTAAATCTGCCTTTGGATAATCCAGCACTATTTAAAATGTGCTTTAATCACTTTCACTCCAAAACGTCTTTTCCTCTCTGATCCTTTTGCTAAGTTTTCAAAAAGAGCATGAAAATTTTATTACTAAGAAAAACTGATATATTTCCCAAATAGAAAACAAAATGTAAATGTCTATATTGAATATACTAGTTTTTCCCATTGGGCCCCTGAGGCAAAGACTGAATGTTCATGAAGTGAAAACAAAACCAAAATGTGTCTCAAAGCAGAATGACATAGTTTAGGGAACCAGGGTTTGGAAAGGAGGACCTGTGTAGGTTTTGTGCATTTATTCAGTCAATTAAATCACGTTTATGCAGGAGCTGCATTATGCTAGACAATGTAAATATCATGGTGAACATGACTCATGTATTCCTGCCTTCATGTAGTCTACGTCTGGTGCGGAAGACAGTCAGAATGCACATAATCTTGAAAAGAAAAATAAAACAAATGGTAGACTGTGATAGAGATATCAAAACAAGTGTAAGGAATCAAGGAAATTCTCCTTGAAGAAGTATCTTCTAAACTAAGATCTGAATGTTCAGAAAAGCTATAGTATGGGGCCAGGGGTAGCAGCAGATGAGGCAGAACAGAAAGGTAGATGTTTATTCTACAGAAAAGTGTTTCAGGGCGGAGCAAGATGGCCGAATAGGAACAGCTCCAGTCTCCAACTCCCAGCGCGAGCGACACAGAAGACCGGTGATTTCTGCATTTTCAACTGAGGTACTGGGTTCATCTCACTGGGGAGTGCCGGACGATCGGTGCTGGTCAGCTGCTGCAGCCCGACCAGCGAGAGCTGAAGCAGGGCGAGGCATTGCCTCACCTGGGAAGCGCAAGGGGGAAGGGAATCCCTTTTCCTAGCCAGGGGAACTGAGACACACAACACCTGGAAAATCGGGTAACTCCCATCCCAATACTGCACTTTAAGCAAACAGGCACACCAGGAGATCATATCCCACACCTGGCCGGGAGGGTCCCACACCCACGGAGCCTCCCTCATTGCTAGCACAGCAGTCAGTGATCTACCGGCAAGCAGCAGCGAGGCTGGGGAGGGGCGCCCGCCATTGCTGAGATTAAGTAGGTAAACAAAACTGCTGGGAAGCTCGAACTGGGTGGAGCTCACAGCAGCTCAAGGAAACCTGCCTGTCTCTGTAGACTCCACCTCTGGGGACAGGGCAATAACAAACACAGCCGAAACCTCTGCAGACGCAAACGACTCTGTCTGACAGCTTTGAAGAGAGCAATGGATCTCCCAACACGGAGGTTGAGATCTGAGAAGGGACAGACTCCCTGCTCAAGTGGGTCCCTGACCCCTGAGTAGCCTAACTGGGAGACATCCCCCACTAGGGGCAGTCTGACACCCCACACCTCACAGGGTGGAGTACACCCTTGAGAGGAAGCTTCCAAAGCAAGAATCAGACAGGTACACTCGCTGTTCAGAAATATTCTATCTTCTGCTGCCTCTGCTGCTGATACCCAGGCAAACAGGTTCTGGAGTGGACCTCAAGCAACATCCAACAGACCTACAGCTGAAGGTCCTGACTGTTAGAAGGAAAACTATCAAACAGGAAGGACACCTACACCAAAACCCCATCAGTACATCACCATCATCAAAGACCAGAGGCAGATAAAACCACAAAGATGGGGAAAAAGCAGGGCAGAAAAACTGGAAATTCAAAAAATAAGAGCGCATCTCCCCCGGCAAAGGAGCGCAGCTCATCGCCAGCAACGGATCAAAGCTGGACGGAGAATGACTTTGACGAGATGAGAGAAGAAGGCTTCAGTCCATCAAATTTCTCAGAGCTAAAGGAGGAATTACGTACCCAGTGCAAAGAAACTAAAAATCTTGAAAAAAAAGTGGAAGAATTGATGGCTAGAGTAATTAATGCAGAGAAGGTCATAAACGAAATGAAAGAGATGAAAACCATGACACGAGAAATACGTGACAAATGCACAAGCTTCAGTAACCGACTCGATCAACTGGAAGAAAGAGTATCTGCGATTGAGGATCAAATGAATGAAATGAAGCGAGAAGAGAAACCAAAAGAAAAAAGAACAAAAAGAAATGAACAAAGCCTGCAAGAAGTACGGGATTATGTAAAAAGACCAAATCTACGTCTGATTGGGGTGCCTAAAAGTGAGGGGGAAAATGGAACCAAGTTGGAAAACACTCTACAGGATATCATCCAGGAGAACTTCCCCAACCTAGTAGGGCAGGCCAACATTCAAATCCAGGAAATACAGAGAACGCCACAAAGATACTCCTCGAGAAGAGCAACTCCAAGACACATAATTGCCAGATTCACCAAAGTTGAAATGAAGGAAAAAATCTTAAGGGCAGCCAGAGAGAAAGGTCGGGTTACCCACAAAGGGAAGCCCATCAGACTAACAGCAGATCTCTCGGCAGAAACTCTCCAAGCCAGAAGAGAGTGGGGGCCAATATTCAACATTCTTAAAGAAAAGAATTTTCAACCCAGAATTTCATATCCAGCCAAACTAAGTTTCATAAGTGAAGGGGAAATAAAATCCTTTACAGATAAGCAAATGCTTAGAGATTTTGTCACCACTAGGCCTGCCTTACAAGAGACCCTGAAGGAAGCACTAAACATGGAAAGGAACAACCGGTACCAGCCATTGCAAAAACGTGCCAAAATGTAAAGACCATCGAGGCTAGGAAGAAACTGCATCAACTAACGAGCAAAATAACCAGTTAATATGATAATGGCAGGATCAAGTTCACACATAACAATCTTAACCTTAAATGTAAATGGACTAAATGCTCCAATTAAAAGACACAGACTGGCAAACTGGATAAAGAGTCAAGACCCATCAGTCTGCTGTATTCAGGAGACCCATCTCACACGCAGAGACATACATAGGCTCAAAATAAAGGGATGGAGGAAGATTTACCAAGCAAATGGAGAACAAAAAAAAGCGGGGGTTGCAATACCAGTCTCTGATAAAACAGACTTTAAACCATCAAAGATCAAAAGAGACAAAGAAGGCCATTACATAATGGTAAAGGGATCAATTCAACAGGAAGAGCTAACCATCCTAAATATATATGCACCCAATACAGGAGCACCCAGATTCATAAGCAAGTCCTTAGAGACTTACAAAGAGACTTAGACTCCCATACAATAATAATGGGAGACTTCAACACTCCACTGTCAACATTAGACAGATCAACGAGACAGAAAGTTAACAAGGATATCCAGGAATTGAACTCATCTCTGCAGCAAGCAGACCTAATAGACATCTATAGAACTCTCCACCCCAAATCAACAGAATATACATTCTTCTCAGCACCACATCGTACTTACTCCAAAATCGACCACGTAATTGGAAGTAAAGCACTCCTCAGCAAATGTACAAGAACAGAAATTATAACAAACTGTCTCTCAGACCACAGTGCAATCAAACTAGAACTCAGGACTAAGAAACTCAATCAAACCCGCTCAACTACATGGAAACTGAACAACCTGCTCCTGAATGACTACTGGGTACATAACGAAATGAAGGCAGAAATAAAGATGTTCTTTGAAACCAATGAGAACAAAGATACAACATACCAGAATCTCTGGGACACATTTAAAGCAGTGTGTAGAGGGAAATTTATAGCACTAAATGCCCACAAGAGAAAGCAGGAAAGATCTAAAATTGACACTCTAACATCGCAATTAAAAGAACTAGAGAAGCAAGAGCAAACACATTCGAAAGCTAGCAGAAGGCTAGAAATAATTAAGATCAGAGCAGAACTGAAGGAGATAGAGACACAAAAAACTCTCCAAAAAATCAATGAATCCAGTAGTTGGTTTTTTGAAAAGATCAACAAAATTGACAGACCACTAGCAAGACTAATAAAGAAGAAAAGAGAGAAGAATCAAATTGACGCAATTAAAAATGATAAAGGGGATATCACCACCGACCCCACAGAAATACAAACTACCATCAGAGAATACTATAAACACCTCTACGCAAATAAACTGGAAAATCTAGAAGAAATGGATAATTTCCTGGACACTTACACTCTTCCAAGAATAAACCAGGAAGAAGTTGAATCCCTGAATAGACCAATAGCAGGCTCTGAAATTGAGGCAATAATTAATAGCCTACCAACCAAAAAAAGTCCAGGACCAGATGGATTCACAGCTGAATTCTACCAGAGGTACAAGGAGGAGCTGGTACCATTCCTTCTGAAACTATTCCAATCAATAGAAAAAGAGGGAATCCTCCCTAACTCATTTTATGAGGCCAACATCATCCTGATACCAAAGCCTGGCAGAGACACAACAAAAAAAGAGAATTTTAGACCAATATCCCTGATGAACATCGATGCAAAAATCCTCAATAAAATACTGGCAAACCGGATTCAGCAACACATCAAAAAGCTTATCCACCATGATCAAGTGGGCTTCATCCCTGGGATGCAAGGCTGGTTCAACATTCGCAAATCAATAAACATAATCCAGCATATAAACAGAACCAAAGACAAGAACCACATGATTATCTCAATAGATGCAGAAAAGGCTTTTGACAAAATTCAACAGCCCTTCATGCTAAAAACACTCAATAAATTCGGTATTGATGGAACGTACCTCAAAATAATAACAGCTATTTATGACAAACCCACAGCCAATATCCTACTGAATGGGCAAAAACTGGAAAAATTCCCTTTGAAAACTGGCACAAGACAGGGATGCCCTCTCTCACCACTCCTATTCAACATAGTGTTGGAAGTTCTGGCTAGGGCAATTAGGCAAGAGAAAGAAATCAAGGGTATTCAGTTAGGAAAAGAAGAAGTCAAATTGTCCCTGTTTGCAGATGACATGATTGCATATTTAGAAAACCCCATTGTCTCAGCCCAAAATCTCCTTAAGCTGATAAGCAACTTCAGCAAAGTCTCAGGATACAAAATTAATGTGCAAAAATCACAAGCATTCTTATACACCAGTAACAGACAAACAGAGAGCCAAATCAGGAATGAACTTCCATTCACAATTGCTTCAAAGAGAATAAAATACCTAGGAATCCAACTTACAAGGGATGTAAAGGACCTCTTCAAGGAGAACTACAAACCACTGCTCAGTGAAATCAAAGAGGACACAAACAAATGGAAGAACATACCATGCTTATGGATAGGAAGAATCAATATCGTGAAAATGGCCATACTGCCCAAGGTAATTTATAGATTCAATGCCATCCCCATCAAGCTACCAATGACTTTCTTCACAGAATTGGAAAAAACTGCTTTAAAGTTCATATGGAACCAAAAAAGAGCCCGCATCTCCAAGACAATCCTAAGTCAAAAGAATAAAGCTGGAGGCATCACGCTACCTGACTTCAAACTATACTACAAGGCTACAGTAACCAAAACAGCATTGTACTGGTACCAAAACAGAGATATAGACCAATGGAACAGAACAGAGTCCTCAGAAATAATACCACACATCTACAGCCATCTGATCTTTGACAAACCTGAGAGAAACAAGAAATGGGGAAAGGATTCCCTATTTAATAAATGGTGCTGGGAAAATTGGCTAGCCATAAGTAGAAAGCTGAAACTGGATCCTTTCCTTACTCCTTATATGAAAATTCATTCAAGATGGATTAGAGACTTAAATGTTAGACCTAATACCATAAAAATCCTAGAGGAAAACCTAGCTAGGTAGTACCATTCAGGACATAGGCATGGGCAAAGACTTCATGTCTAAAACACCAAAAGCAACGGCAGCAAAAGCCAAAATTGACAAATGGGATCTCATGAAACTAAAGAGCTTCTGCACAGCAAAAGAAACTACCATCAGAGTGAACAGGCAACCTACAGAATGGGAGAAAATTTTTGCAATCTACTCATCTGACAAAGGGCTAATATCCAGAACCTACAAAGAACTCAAACAAATTTACAAGAAAAAAACAAACAACCCCATCAAAAAGTGGGCAAAGGATATGAACAGACATTTCTCAAAAGAAGACATTCATACAGCCAACAGACACATGAAAAAATGCTCATCATCACTGGCCATCAGAGAAATGCAAATCAAAACCACAATGAGATACCATCTCACACCAGTTAGAATGGCGATCATTAAAAAGTCAGGAAACAACAGGTGCTGGAGAGGATGTGGAGAAATAGGAACGCTTTTACACTGTTGGTGGGATTGTAAACTAGTTCAACCATTATGGAAAACAGTATGGCGATTCCTCAAGGATCTGGAACTAGATGTACCATATGACCCAGCCATCCCATTACTGGGTATATACCCAAAGGATTATAAATTATGCTGCTATAAAGACACATGCACATGTATGTTTATTGCAGCACTATTCACAATAGCAAAGACTTGGAATCAACCCAAATATCCATCAGTGACAGATTGGATTAAGAAAATGTGGCACATATACACCATGGAATACTATGCAGCCATAAAAAAGGATGAGTTTGCGTCCTTTGTAGGGACATGGATGCAGCTGGAAACCATCATTCTTAGCAAACTATCACAAGAACAGAAAACCAAACACCGCATGTTCTCACTCATAGGTGGGACCTGAACAATGAGATCACTTGGACTCAGGAAGGGGAACATCACACACAGGGCCTATCATGGGGAGGGGGAGGGGGAGGGATTGCATTGGGAGTTATACCTGATGTAAATGATGAGTTGATGGGTGCAGCACAGCAACATGGCACAAGTATACATATGTAACAAACCTGCACGTTATGCACATGTACCCTACAACTTAAAGTACAATAATAATAAATAAATTAAAAATAAATAAATAAATAAATAAAAAGAAAAGTGTTTCATAAGGAAATGATAAGATCATTCATATCTTTAAAGATCCACCTAGAGCTTCTTGCAATGAAACAGGTGAGGTGTGCATCAGGTGAGAACTACAGAGATGAAGAAAGGTGGAACGCTGTGCAAGCTATCTGTAGGCTAGAGTTGTCAGTTCTATAAACTAGGGCTTGATGTTTGATCAATCAGGATGGGGAGAAAAAACAACATGTCAAATGTGATGCCCAGACCCTACACTGGGAAGCTGAGTGGATGGTGTGTTTATTGACCTAGAAAGCACAGAAGAATAGAAAGTTTGAAACTAAAGATATAAGTAAGATGCTTTCAGAGCATCCAAAAGGAGATGTTCAGTAGGCAGTTCGATATCCAGGTTTGCCTCCCCGTTCAGGAGTCTGGGCTGCAAAAAAATTCTTTAAAAGGGTTTAGCTGAATACTTGGCACATAATGAATGTTCAATAAGTGTCAGCTACATATATTAATAATATTATTATGTCTAATATTATTATTGGAACATAAGAATGTAACCATTATCAACCAAAAAGAGACTGAGGAAACTAAAGACTGAGGTCCTACAGCCATGGAGCAAAAGTCTTTCATTCATTTCAGCTGGGTGGTAAAATGTATACCTAATGAAAATACAAACATAATCCACTGTTTTTCTTTTTTAAGAAAATAAGGAAAAATCTTACACTCTTATGCCTCAGAAGAAAGCATCAGTACTGATAGGCCCATGCTCACACAGGTACAGTGAACTCCAAGTTGAGTCTCCCATTCATTGCTTAACCTCTGGTAGCATTTTCTCCCCAACAGTGAATGAGTTGCTTTTCAAAGTTTGCCAGACCAGGCCTTAGTTCAAATCTCTTTTGTTGTTAACAGCTATAAAATGTCAAAACAAGACAAAACAAAACATAAAACACAACCTTAATCTCTGACAAGGACAGAATCAGGTACAATATATGTAAACACTTGGAAAGACCCTCTTATGGTATTAGCTGTGGGTTTTAAATAAAAATTTAAAAAGAAGACCCTCCTCATTAACTGACAGAGGGAAAATTCTGGACTACAGCATAGACCAGATCCTTAGTTCAATGCAGAATTTCTTATCCTCCTATAGTGTAAGATCCAGTATTTATTTTTGTAGTCAGCAGTTACAATTATTCATGATCATATTTTTATCAAGCATCATGTTTATATAGCTACCTCACAAAAATTATATTCCAGTATTTAGGAAAAAGACAGCATTTTTAAATGCTTTACCATAAAACTCAGTATCTGATGTGCATTTTTTTCCATTGGTTCTGCCCTAAAACCTCTATCTCCCTATGAAGGTATTCCGTGTCCCTTTTAAAGTGTTAGAAGTACTTGAAGAATTGTCATGTAACTTTATTATTTTTGCCATGGAGCATACATTCCTAGTTCTTATGATAATTTGTTGAATTGGATTTCAAGATCTGCTAAGGCCCATCATTAGTCCACATGACTGAATGGAAATTCCCTTCCCCTTCACCCTCATTCAGGAGGATACATGACCCAGACTTGAACAAGTATTGCATTTCCCTAGTCACAAAGATTATGTTAAGCCACGTGATAAAATCAGATTCAATAGAATTAATTATGGGATGTAGGTGGATCTGCCCCAAGGCTTTTATTTTATTTTACTTTGTTTACACTTGTCCTTGGGGTATGAAAACCTGCTACTGCTGGTAGTCAGTTACCACCACTTAGAGAGAAATAAGGCCCTGATGACATCACTAGAGTCAGAATCAAGCTATCCCTCAGTCTATCTCTGGACTTTTTAGTTACATAAACCAATACTTTTGTACTGCTCTTTCTGCATTAGCCAATGTAAGTGTTTTCTCTCTCTTGGATGACAGCTCTAGCATCTAGCTGATACTATGTAATTTAGTGTTAATAAAACACATAAAGAAACTTGAGAAAGCTAACAAAATTAAACATGTTTCTTTGCTGCAAACAAAAAATAAAAAACACAGTGTCTAAATTTGTAGGTAGAATATGAACATCTGCTTACAGCAGAAATTATGAGCAAGTACACTCATAATTTCTGTACATTTCTTTGAGAACCAATCTTATGTATATACTGTGTGTGGCAACACGGATATGTTAATATTCACTATATATGATATTCACAGCTATATTAATTATCCACTGGCTATCTGCTTGTATTGGTTTCTTCTGGGTTTTGAAAAGCCCAGTTTCAAACCTTAGCTCTATCACTACTAAGCCTCAGTTTCCTCTTATGTGAAATAAACATGATAAACATAGAACTGACCTCGAACATTTGCATGAATTTTAAAAAGACAGTGCTTGCAAAGCTCTAAATAAAGTGGGTGCTCAGAAATCCTTGGCTGTTAGATGTTATTCATAGATGGCATTAATGTAAGGACACATTTATTTTTGCTGGCACTAAAGAAAAATAGAAGTTAAGTCATAAGTAGGCAAATTCTGGTCATATTTCTAGTATCATTGTTATTGGACAAACAACCAAATTTTACTTGATAAATCCAAGTTGATATGAAGGTATAGAAAAATATAGATATACATATACATATACATATTTTTGTGCCCACACAGCTGTATATCTGATCTTAAATATTTGAATTTGTTATTACATCTGCAGGATTATATACTTTTAGGTCAAACATTTACATTTGGTCAAACTAAGAACAACTAGCAATGTTTGGAGAGTTCTGGGTCGCTTCCATATATCCTGATCTAATTTGTTTGATGCATTAAATAGATAAACTCTATCTCCAGCAAGATTAAATTTTTTTCCTATTGATGAGGATTGATAAGGAAAAGAAAGCAATGACAAGAGCATTTTGCGGCTGGGTGCGGTGGCTTATGCCCATAATCTCAGCACTTTGGGAGGCCGAGGCGAGCAGATCATGAGCTCAGGAGATTGAGACCATCCTGGTTAACATGGTGAAACCTCATCTCTACTTAAAATATAAAAAAATAAGCCGGACGTGGTGGTGGGCGCCTGTAGTCCCAGCTACTCAGGAGGCTGAGGCAGGAGAATGGCGTTAACCCAGGAGGCGGAGCTTGCAGTGAGCCAAAAAAAGAAAAAGAGCGTTTTGCAGCTGACCTGGAGCTAGTGTTTTGAAATAGGCAAAAGGGGATATGGTTTAGAATGTAGTCTTCTTATGGTTGTCTTGGGACATTTCACTAGCACATATACCAACACCTATAATAAATAAGTCAATTCTATATGTCCTTCTTAGGTAATATATAAGCCAATATTTGTCATAGCTAATTCCACATAAAACCCACTTAGAGCTAGGAGAAACCTAATTAATACAAATTCTATTTTGTCATTTTAAACATTAATCATCTACTATTAAAATTCTGAGATTTTAATAAATTTAATAAAAGTAGCATTTTAATGCAAAAGTATTCTCAATTCTCAAAAGGTTGATTCCATTTTTAAGACAACTTATAACTAAGGGAATATTTAAACCGAAATAATACAAAAAAATAAGATTCCCATTTGACACATTAGCATGGATGAAGGGTCAATGTTTAGGTCATTGCAGTCCAACCTAATAAGTATTTGAAATATAATAGCCATAGAAACTAATCTAGGACCTAAGAAATGCAGAGATATTTTACTAACATGAAAGAGGAGAGGAGCTTTTTGTTGGATTTATTTTTATTAATTCCTGCACCTATAACTTACATCTCTCCATGTTTCAGGAGCAAGTCAAAAATCTTACATGTGCAGCTTTAGGAAGAAATCTGATCGGTCAGATGAGAATGTTCTGCCTGCCTTTTTTTTTTTTTTTTTTTTTTGGTCCAATTCATTTTTAGCCCTTATTTCCCCGGGGAGAAAGAAAATAGGAGTTTCTTCCTTTCATCCTTAGCAAGAATCTCACAACTGGTGCTGCCAATATTTCTGCAATGAAGTGTCTTAACAAAGATGAATTAACTCCAACACTGTTCTCCTTGATTTTTTCTCTCATTAGCTGCTTCTTTGCTGAGCCTAGACTCTTTCTGACCACTAATCTGAAGGATAGTCTATGAGTCACGAAGTACTGTACATTTGCCTTTAAGTATATACATAATGAGACTTAGATCCTGGAGCAGTCTGTGGTGGGGCAGCAGGATGAAAACCTCTGTGGTTGGCCGGGCGCGGTGGCTCAAGCCTGTAATCCCAGCACTTTGGGAGGCCGAGACGGGCGGATCACGAGGTCAGGAGATCGAGACCATCCGGGCTAACACGGTGAAACCCCGTCTCTACTAAAAAATACAAAAAACTAGCCGGGCGAGGTGGCGGGCGCCTGTAGTCCCAGCTACTCGGGAGGCTGAGGCAGGAGAACGGTCTAAACCCAGGAGGCGGAGCTTGCAGTGAGCTGAGATCCGGCCACTGCACCCCAGCCTGGGCGACAGAGCAAGACTCTGTCTCAAAAAAAAAAAAAAAAAAAAAAAGAAAAAAAAAAGAAAACCTCTGTGGTTTATCTAGTCTGCTATATACACAATCACGGAAGCACTGGCTTAAGTTTGTGCATTTTCTTGTACATCAGGCTGTCAGGCCTGGTGGAATCTCCATTCTGTTAATAAGAAGGAATCAGAGGGAGAGGATAAAAGTGTAATGTAAAATGTAAATAGGGTATATCCTCATCTGTTTTCTGTTACTTAAAGCAGAATACCTGAAACTGGGTAATGAATAAAGAAAAGATATTTACAGTTGTCGAGGCTGAAAAGTCCACGGTGAAAGAGCCCCATATCATGACAGCCTTCTTGCTGGTGGAGACCCTTCAAAGTCTCAAGGTGGTGCAGGATATCACATGCTGAATGGGCTGAGTTTGCTAATGTGCTAGCTCTCTTCCTCTTCTTATGAAGCCACCAGCTCCTTTCCCATGATAATTCATTAATCCCTTAAGGTATTAATCCATTAATTCACAAATGGATTAATCTAGTCAGGAGAGCAGAGCCTCTTAAAGGTCACTCCTGTCAATACTGCCACATTGGAGATTAAATTTCAACTTGAGTTTAGGAAGGGACATTCACTCCATAGCATTCTGACCCTTGCCTCCCAAAACTTGTGTTCTTCTCACATACAAATACATTCATTCCATCCCCATAGCCCAAAGTCTTAAATTGTTTTGGCATTAACTCAAAAGTTCAAAGCCCAGAGTGTCATCTGTGAGCCTGTGAAATCAAAACAAGTTATTTTCTTGTAAGATACAATGGTGAGAGAAGCATAGGATACAGATTCCTGCTCCGAAAGAGAGAAATAGGCAAAAAATGGTACAGGACCTGTGAAATTCCAAAAGTCAAGAGAATAGACATTGGGTTTTAAAACTCCAGAATAATCTTTGACCCCATGTCTGACATCTTCTGCACACTGGTGTGGGAGTTAAGCCTTGCCACTCTGGCTTAACTGGGCTCAGTCCGCCCAGCTCTCCCAAGCTAATGTTGCCCACTAGTAGATCTACAGTTCTGGGGTCTCAGTTGTAGTCCTGCTTCCATGGATTCACTAGGTCTTGCCCTGATGGGGTCTCTCGGCAACAGCTCCAGCCCCACATTTCTGCTAGGCATTGCTCTAATGGGAACTCGCTGTGGTGGCTCCATCCCTGTGACAAGTCTTTGGGCCTTCAGGCTTTCAGTGACGTATTTTGAAATCTGGGTGAAGGTTCTTGCTTTCAGCAAGCCTGCAGAATTAATAGCACGTGAACACTGCCAACGTTCTTGGCAGGACCTGTACCTTCCAGAGCTGCTACATAAGACACACTTAGGGCTGCTTGAGTCATGGCTAGAGCAGCCATGCGGCACTGCACTGGGGTGTGGGGGAATGGAGTCCCAAGGAAATCCCGGGCAGTGAGCCTATGGGGAGCACCCTGGGCCTGTCCCCTGAAATCAATCTGCCCTCCTAGGTCGATTGGCCTGTGAAGGATTGGCATCCTTGAAGATCTCTGAAGTGCCTTCAGGGTCTTTCTTTCACTGTCTTGAAAAACAGCACCTGGCTTCCCTCTATCTGTGTTAATCTCTTTAGCAAATGGTCACTAGGCTACACCTTTGTTTTTCTCTCCTGGACATACTTCTTCACTTTTACAATCTTTAAGTGGCCAAACTGAGAATTTTCCACATCTTTCCACTCTGATTCCCTTTGAATTATAAATTCTATCTTTAAGTTATTCTTTTGTTTCTGCATCTCACTGCAAGTGGCCAAAAGTAACCATGCAACTCCTTCTATATTTTACTTAGAAATGTCTTCTTCCTGATATCCCAGTTTATCACACTCATATCTGGTCTTCCACAAGGCCTCAGGAATGGGCACAGTTCAGCCAAGCTCTTTTCCAATTGATAAGAAGAATGACCTTTCCTCTACTTTCCAATACCTTGTTCCTCAGTTCCATCTGAAACCTCATTAGAATGACCTTTACTGTCTATATTTCTATCAACATTCTGGTCATCCCACTTAACCTATCTTTAAGAAGTTCCAAACCTTCCTGACTCTTCTTGTTGTCTAAGTCCTCACCAGAAGCTAGGTTTTCTCTAACCCGCTCCTCCAATTTCTTCCAGCCTCTGCTCATTACCCAGTTTCAAAGCTGCTTTCACATTATCAGGTATTTCTTATCAGCAACGCCACATTCTTAGTGCCAATTTTTTCTGTTTTAGTCTTTTTTCTTTTGCTGATAACAGAATACCTGAAACTAGGCAATTTCTAAAGAAAAGGAATTTATTTCTAATACTTACAGAGACTGAGAAGTCCAAGCTTGAAGTGTCACATTTCGTGAGAGCCTTCTTGCTGGTAGAAACTCTGTACAAAGCCCTGAGGCATTACATGCAGGGCATTACATGGTGAGGTGACTGAGTGCGGTGATGTGCTAGCTCAGGTCTCTCCTCTTCTTCTTACAGAGCCACAGGTTTCTCTCCCATGATAACTCATTTATTTATTAACCCATTAATCCATTTATGAGGGCAGAGCCCTTATGATCCCATAATCTCTTAAAGGCAACACCTCTCAATACTGCTACATTGGGGATTCAGTTTCAACATGAGTTTTAGAGGCGACATGCAAACAATAGAGAAGTAAAAGCAAAATTTTTTTTTTTTCAGTATCAATAATATGTAGGCAGATCACCATAGAAGGGAAAAGATTTCCCCTTATAGTTTTGAAATTAGATCTTCAATTTGTTGTTATTTGATAGAATAATAAATTCCAGTAAATAAAATTTCTTTGTACTGAACCTATGCAAATAGAAATTTTACATAAAATAAAAAATAATGAGAACATTTTACATTTGTGCTGCGCTTTTTTCTTTTTGGAATAATTCACATATATTATCACCAGAAATACACATTACCTTTATTCTACTCTCTTTGAGGAATGACAAAATCTATGCCTGTGAGGTTTCTGGGTACAACCAAAACCAGTGAGAAATTTTGGGTCTGAAACACACAGATTTGGTGTTTGCTTTGATATGTGGTCCAAAAAGCAGAGAAGATCTAACATAAAATGGGCTCTAGACCAATGAGATGCATAAAATATCCAGCAGATGCAAACTCTAAACCTCCCTGAAAGATTGTTGTCTTGTCATGAGGAATTATCACAGAAAAAAAAATCTTCACTAAAGATGAATGTATAATCAACGCTTAGAAACAAAATTGTAAGTGAGAGTCATCAAGCAATAAACAGTAATGTTATAAAAATAAACCATGTAATATTGGTTTTTTATGAACCATGATCTGAAAAAATATAAACATCATTTTTCATGATATGAAAAAATATAAACATTTTTAAAGACATAAGAAAGTAAACACAATCTTAGGAACAGAATAAGACTTCAAAAGAACTTCAGAAGAATAATTTAATATTCAGTGAATGATTTAGCAGCAAATTACATATGTCATAGATGAAACTAATAACCCAAAAAGAAATCTGAGAAAATAACTCAGAAAGCTCCATGGAGAAATAGAGAGAAAAGAGATGAAATAAGAAGACCCAAACTACAACTAACAGCATTTTCAAAGAATTAGAACAAAAGGAAATTAAATCAATATGGTGCTGACACATAGAAAAACAAACAGGCCAAAGAAACAGAATAGGAAGTCCTGAAATACATATACATATGAACACATGATTTATGACAAAAGTGAATTAAATGTAATATAAAAGTCATAACAATAAATCAACTAAAAGACAATATGGGAGAATATCTTCAAGACTTTGAGAGTAAGCAAATATTTTTATAGAGAGCACAAAAAACACTAACCATAAAGAAAAACATTGATAGATTGAACTACAATAAAATTAAGAGCTTATTTTAATTGAAACACATTATTAAGATCGTACAAAAGCAAGCCACTGTCTAGAACACACTTATAATGTATTTAGCTGGCAAATAATTCATTCAGAATGCATAAAGGACTCTTACCAACTGTTATAGTCTGAATGTTTATGTACTCCCAAAATTCATGCTGAAATCTTTATCCCAAAGGTAAAGATTTACACAGTAGGGCCTTTGGGAGGTGATTAGATATTGAGAGTAAAGCCCTCATAAGTGTAATTAGTGTCCTTATAGAGGAGACCCTGGAGATCTTCGCCCCTTCTACCAGAGAAGGTGCTACCTATGAGCCAGAAAGCAAGCCCTCTTCAGACAATGAAATTGCTGGTGTGTTGTTCAAGGACTTTCCAGCTTCCAGAACAATGGGAAATAAATTTTTGTGGCTTATAACCTACCTAGTTTATGATATTTTGTTAAAGCAGCTAGAACAGACTAAGATACCAGTAAGTAAGAAAAAGGCAGATAAGCCAAGAGAAAAATGTGCAAAGGACTTCAAAAAGGGAATATTAAAAAACCCAACATTTGTAAAGTGTTCAAATTAATTAATTGCTAGGAAAATGCAAATCATAACCACAGTGATACCCTACTACATATGTACTAGATTAGATAACATTTACAATTCTGGGGCTGGGTGGCTCACACGTGTAATCCCAGCACTTTGGAAGACCTAGATGAGTTAATCACTTGAGCCCAGGAGTTCAATACCAGCCTAGGCAACATGGTGAAACTCTGTCTCTACAACAACAACAAAAAAGAATAAAAAAAATTAGCTGGGCATGGTGGCATACACCTATAGTTCCACCTACTCAGGGGAGGCTGAGGTTGGAGTATCACTTGAGCCCAGGAGGTCAAGGCTGCAGTGAGTGACAATTGCACCACTGCACTCCAGCCAGGGCAACAGTGAGAACCTTTCTCAAAAAATACAATAAAATAAAAAATAAGTAAAATAAAACAAGATTCTGGTAAGGAAGATATCATCAAGATGGTTGAGTAGAGATACCAAGTACTTGCCTCCTCTACAAAGAAGGATCAAAACAACTAGAAAACCACATGTCAAATAGTGTCTAGGAAAAAATACTAGAATGTAGCAAGAAAGTAACAAAGATACCCTGAAGTATAGAAACTCAGGATAGAAGCATAACTCAGGATGGAAACAAAGAGAAGGAAGTAAAGCACCCAGCCACGATCAGCTTGGAACCCAGATAAACACATAAGTGGAGATCCCTAAGAATCCACATTCCCACCATAAATTCCTGCAATCCTAGTTACAGGAGAGCCTCACAGTACTTATACAGTCTCAGCACAGCGTAGGGAGCTGTCTAGAGTCCTGGTGACTGCATTACTCCACGGAGAGAAACCCACACTGGGTTCCCCACCGACACTCCCCAGGATCCAGGCTACCACAACATGGTACTATTTTGAAGTGAGAACCACTGCCGGAGTGCATCCTCTCCAAGAGCCCAATTGCCCCTGCACCTCCACATCTCTGGGGCCCTTCACTCATCCCACCACACCCACACCAGAAGGCTGCAGGGCCATGGCCTAAGCTAGATCCAGTGGTGCATCTGTGAACCAGGCACCTGAACCCAGGCAGCTCCCTACATGCTCGGGAACAGGTGGTACAGTGCAGCAGGGAGGTCACTCAAAATAGAGAGGGAGCCACATGTGACGTTCCCAGACCACCCAGCCTGCCACCACCTGTGACCCCTTCTACTTGAACAGCAGAATCATCATCTGCCTATGAACCCCCTCAAGGATGATGAGAACTGAGCCACCTGAGGTCTGCCGCCACAAGTGACCGCAACTACTCTAGCTGTAGAACAGTGAGGTACCATCACTAGAACCCAAGGACTGGCTCACCTAGGCCTTCTTCGGCCTGCTTCCAGCAGCAACTCCACCTACTCCAGTAGCAGAGCTGCCAAGCACCTTCAAATCTCACCAGCATTTCCCACCAAGGGCCCGCTCTCACCAGTGACCCTTCCCACTTCAGTGATATAGATGCTCGGTCACACAAAGCATCTATATCTCGGTCACCCTCCAGTCACACAAAGGTTCACTGCAGTGGCAACCTTACTCCAGCAATGGAACTGCCATGCACCCCACTCAAGGGCTTGAGAACCTGCTCACCTGGGGCCCACCTTTGCTGGCAATCTTGCCCCCTCCAAAGACAAAATTGCCATGCCCTGTGCCCACTCTTGTAAGTCCCAAAGACAGGACCACTTGGGACCATTGCTAATGGTAACCCTGTGCTTTTGACCAGAAGAGCTGTCATGTACCTTTCCAGGGCCTAAGACTAGGCCCACCTGGTAGACACCCTCTGCCACTGCCAGCAAAGCACACACTCTATAAACACACTCAATAAACAAATGGTCTCCATAAACACACTCAATCTAGGCCACTTAGGCACTCATAAACACTGCTGACATAGATTACAGCCAAAGATATCATATGGAGACTACACTATTGTGCCCAAAAAGAACCAAAGCCAAAGCACCCTGTCCAACTGACATTATGAGAAAAATCCACAGAAAAAAAAAGGCTTTCCATACAAAAGTCAGAAGGGCTTTCTAAAAATTAGAAGACATTACTGTTCCACCAAATGTACAGATACCAACATAGGGACACAAGAAACATTAAAAAGCCAAAAACTAAAATAAGGACATCTCTAAGGAATCGCAATTATTCTCCAGTAACAGAGTCCTCAAAAAAGTAAATCTGCTAGATGCCTGAGAAAGATTTCAAAATAATGATACAAAACTCAGTGGAATATAAGAGAACACAGATGGATAACACAAATAAATCAGGAAAACAATTCATGATCTAAATGAGAGATTCATCAAAGAGATAGGTATCATGAAAGAAACAAACAGAATATTGGTACTAAAGAATGTAATGAATAAAATACAAAAACACAATCAAGAGCTTCAATAATAGACTAAAGCAAGATAAAGAAAGAATTTCTGAACTTGAAAACAGAAGTCTTTTGAAATAGTCAGACAAAAAAAAAAAAAAGAATAGAAAAGAATAAAGAAAACCTGCAAGACTTATGGAACACCATTAAGAAAACACATTTTTGCCTTTGGAAGTTTCAGATGAAGGAAAAGAAAAGAGTAGAAAACCTATTTAATGAAATAATAGCTGAAAATTTCATAAGTCTATAAAGAGATGTGGACATCCAGATCCCCAAATTGATTCAACCTCCAAAAATGTTCTCTCTGAGGCACAATACAGTGAAACTGACAAAAAGCAAAGACAAAGAATTTTAGAAACAATAAGTGAAAAGTGTTAAGTCAAAAATAACAAAATATCTATCAGACTTACAGCAGATTTCTCAGATTTCTCTTTTACAGGCCAGGAGAGAATGAGATTTTATACTGAAAGTGCTGAAAGAAAATAACTGCCAGTGAAGACTAACATACCCAGCAAAGCTATCCTTGAGAAATAAAAGAGAAATAAAATCTCTTCCAGACAAGAAAAAACTGAAGGAAATCATCACCACTAGGTAGGTTCTGTAAGAAATGCCTAAGAGAGTCCTACATCTGCAAGTGAAAGTA